GAGTCATTGAGAGATGATGGGATTAAAATAGCGTCATAGCAGATTCTTAGGATGTTTTTTAGCAAGGTTATGGATGCACCATTGGCTTAAGGCATCTCTTGCTTAGTGTGAGACAGAGCGAATTAGGATGCTTAAGGAGAATGAGAGGTACATCATACTCAACTTCCCAAATCTATTTCAAAGTATATATATATATATATATATTGTTTTAATGGGTAGAAAGAAATATGTGAGGAAGTTTTACAAAACATAGACCCAAAGGGACTGTAAAATTAGAGGTGGTTTGGTCATTTATAAAATACCAATAAAGAACAATTGGATTTTTTTCAAAGCAGTTCATGGAGAAAACACCATGCCCAATAGATATAACATCTTACGTACACATATGACAATTGCATTAGACCGGTTTTACCGAAGGACGGAAATGGGTCTTTTTGTGCATGTGACTGAGAGAGGACTCCCTTCGCGCTCGAGGAAGCCCAAACACTCCTCTTCTAGCAATTGGTTTGTGTGATCCATAAATTTGTCCTTTGGAGAACGTAACTTGAAATATGTGGCACCTAAGATAGCTTTGAAAAGCATTGTGGGTCATGGGTTTGTTATATTATTGTAGGTGCAGGGTGTGGTCACAAAGAAGTTATGGAATGCCTACTTTGAATTTAATTCTATTGGCACTCTTTTTATGGCTTTTAACTGGGCTTTTCAAAATTTGAGTAAAAATAAAAGTTCTTTTATTTTCATCGGTTGTTTAGTGAAGTTTATATTTAAAACATGGTGTTTTCTGAAAGGAATATATAAAGCCAAGGTTCTAAATAATCAAATTAGAGCCCATACTAGAAGAGGTTGTTTTGATGCCCAAATATCTTCAAATTGATCATCTCGACATCAAGATGCATAGATACAGAAAAACATAGATTTCAGTTGTTGGAAATAGTGCATCTTGTAACACATTTTTGAACGGTCAATTTTCAAGATTTTCACGTTTTCATAGATCTACTTGATCTACACTATTTTTGAAACTTTAAATTTTATAATTAAAGATAAAAATATGTTTGAAGGCTATCACAAAGTTTCCAGTATTGAAACCATATTTCTTGATACTATTTGAAGGTCTGCCTCGGCTTTATCAAACCACACCCTTTTTTAAAAGATATTATTATTTTTATACTCGGGGCATTCTTGGAATGTTATATCCTTTTTTCACGTAACATGGAAGTTCTATTGGCACGCATGCGGCCGTTTATGGGACACATTTGTTGTTCATGTGACCCAAGAGCCTGTGAATGCGTTACTCACTTGTGAGCCCAAAAGACCATGGCTGCATTTGGCCGATTGAAAAGTAAAGGCTGGGCATGGATCCCAACAGATCCAGATAGTCGATTTAGCCAATCCGATCAGCTGGATTGGTGATCTGGATCGCCCATGCCTAAATTTTAAAAGATGTACCTTATGGCAGCCAGTCACTGCTGCCCATGTTTATATAATTTGCTGCTCTTTTTTGGGTTTTGTGCCAGAGACTGGGTGTGTTCAAATGGAGAAAGTTAAGAGTATTCTTAAAATGAAAAATTAAAGGAGATATTTGAAAAAGTGTGAATCTTGTGTGAAGTGTGAACTCTTTTTCGTAGAGTAGAAGAGAGTCACATGTATTATTCATATTGCGATAGTTGGCCGAATATCTAAAACAAGAAACTGTCATGTGGGGTACTTAGTAGATTGTGACTGAGGCAGAGCTCCTTGGCTTTAAGTTTGGTGTTTTTAACCTTGATAATTCTTTTATTATTGAAGGGGACTCTTTAAATGTGATTAAGTGGTGCAACAATCCTTTTTCTATCCCTTGGAAGTTGGCTTGTACGATGGTGGAGATTCTCAGACTTCTTAGGGGGAGACTTTTTCTTTTCGTCCATGTCAATAGAGAAAAGAACTCCTTAGTAGATGTGTTGGGCATACACTCGGTTATAATTCATTCTAGTCTTATTCTTTTCTCTTTTTCTGTTCTCCTCTTTCCTTTTCTTTCTCTCGAGGCTTTCTTGGCCTCAATATGTATTCTGACACTTCTTAATGAAACTTTGTTAACTGTTTCAGGAAAAACAAAAGAAGAGTTGACTGTGAAAGGCATGCCATCTCTAAACCTCGAACCCAGGAAATTCTGAGAACCTCCTGGCCTTTATTTCTACACTTGAAAGACCTAATCTATTTTTTGGCATTGTTGAGTGTGACTCGTGGGCTAAACCTTGCGTTTGGTAAAGAAGCATCATTTTTGCAATCTCCATGACATGCTTAGTCCTTGACATAGAAGATGCCCAATTCTTGAGGAAGCATAGTCATTAATGATTGCTACAATGCTTGAAACATGGTATTGTTTAACTCGGTAGCGTCGAGTTTGGAAATTGATCTTCTAGGCTGGATCTTGGAAAGAGTGAGTGAAGCCAAAATCCCATCAAAAGATGTTATCTCATATGATCATGGATAAATCCGCAATAGTCGTAGGATCCACAAGACTTTAACAAAGATTACGGTAATATTTCAAGTGAAATGGAATTGTTGCTAGTCCCAATAGAAAAATACAAAACCAGAAATAATATTCATAAATAAATAAACAAATAAATTTATGATCAACTTACTTGGATCTATCTTTAAATCACACAAAGGACTTAAGGTTCCATACAAAATCCTATAGACCGAACCATCCGCTAATAGGCAACTTTGAAGTTCCATTGTGGTGAATCTCATTAACCTTGCATAGCTCTTCCATCATTCTCTATCTTTTTCTTATTATTTCTTGAAGTGTTAACCTCTTTTTACAGAGAATATATTTGATTTGTAACTTTCTCATTCATGGTCTACAGGAGTTGAGATCCAAGTGTAACTCTTGCGTTGATTTTCTTAAATGTAGCTAATCAGGATTAATAACCTGTCATCAAACTGTTAATCTTATGTGATGAGCTGAGCTAAACCTGTCATTAGTCTATTAGTGACTCACATAATAGGATGTCATCTAAGTATTCCTATTATTTGATAAAAGATATATAGAAATTAAATAAACTTTGTATAAAAAAAACAATTTTTACAATGAATCCAAACACACCACTAGGTTTTCCCTCCCCTGGCACTGGGTTTTCTCTCCAGTGCAACATCCTATTAAAGCTAAAAAATGGATCCACGTATAACCATTTGGGATTTCACATATACTACAATAGGGCTTTAGTACCATTATTCCGGAAGAAAAGGGCCTGATAGGCCACATTTCCAATAGTTGTAGGATTGTAAAGTTAGTG